CCCCCTCTCCCTCCCCCTCCCCCTCCTACAAGCTCCCTCCTTCCCTCCCTCCCTTCCTCTTTCCCTCCCTCCTTCCCTCCCTCTTTCCCTCCCTCTCTCCCTCTGGTGTTTCTAGACAGGGTTTCTCTGTGGTAGCAGTCCTAAAACTCACTCTGCAGGCCAGGCTGGCCTCCAATTCAGAGATCCACTTGCCTCTGCCTCCAGAGTACTGTGATTAAAGGCCTGTGCCACCACCGTCCAGCCCTGCTTTTTTCTTCAATGCTGTTTTCTTAGATGCTGAGGTGCCATTTATGGACAAATGTCCTCAACCCCATCAGTTCTCTGACACCAGTCTCCAGAATGGATTACTCTCTTCTTCATTCAGAATCCAGTAAGCAGCTTCCTTCTGGATGCTGAGCATGGCCCAGGGGAATGGGAGTGGGACCCCACCCAGCATTCCTGCAAGGCATTCTGGACCATAGCAACTACAGCTCAGGTTTGAGGAGCATGAGAGCTGGGTAGTTAACTGACTGGCATCAGCCAGGGATTTGTGGAAGGAACTACATTCCATTCCACACCTTGTTCCCTCCTAAGTCAGGAGAGAAGGGGTATCTATCCAACTCTTTCCTCACCTTAAAAATCCCATCCATCTTTATGGGAAACGGTTAAGCTAACTATGAAAATCCAGACTTCCAAAATAAATTGCTTATGGTTGCAAACAACCCGAAGCTAAAGTGTGAATGGTTATCAACAGGAACACATTTAATGAAGTGATCTCATGGAATAAATATTAGTGAGTATAGTAACTCACTGAAGATTTGCAAGCCTGTCATTACCAGATATAATTCTACAATGGACTGGTTTGTTTTTAATGATTTCCTACATGGACTGAGAACCCGAGAAAGACGTGAAAAATGTAAGGTGTCCTGTAGTGTCTGTGTCCCCTACATTTTGTTTTTTTGAGGTGATCCCCACCCACAACAAATGCATACACCATTCACTGACAGATGTGGTACATCCAGGGACACCTGCCTTTGGGCATCTGCAGTGAAAGGAAGGACATTAAGCTGTGTTTATACTTTGTTTTTTAAATCACACCTAATACATATACAATTGTTTTCTACTTACATAGAATAAATAAGTATAATAATTTTATCAAGAAAAAGATAACGCCAGCTCCCACCACCGGGGACAATGTACAGTGACACTAGAAAGGACCCATCTAGACCTTCTCACAATATAACTTCCAACAAAAGGCAGGTTGACGGGAAATTAGAAAGCACTTACCCTCAAATATCCTGGGCTAGGGAAAATATAGAAGGATTCTACCAAGAGCCCTAAGGTGCTTATGAAGTTGTCTAAAAAAAAAAAAAAAAAAGTTAGGCAGCATGCAGAGGGGAGGAGGCCTGTGTGTGCCGACTGTATCATAGTCCAGAATGCTGGATGTGAGTTAACGGCAGTTAAGATGGTTAGAAACTGAAGCTTTGGAGGAAAGGAAATATAGGGAGGGATGGAGAGAGGGAGGGAGGGAAGGAGGGAAGGTGGAGAGAGAGAGAGAGAGAGAAACCAAAAGGTTCAGAATGTACAAACGACTCTTAGCAATGTCTTCTAAATTGCCAGGGACCGATCTCTCTCTCTCTCTCTCTCTCTCTCTCTCTCTCTCTCTCTCTCTCTCTCTCTCTCTCCCTCTCTCTCCCTCTCTCTCTCTCGGGACTTCTGTACACTTCATCTTATGCTCTCCACTAGAAAAACAAACTGGTTCCCTAATAACCTGAGAGACGTCTGTCTCTTTATTTGCTTTTTGCCTTGCTCATTAGAGGTTCGTGTGATTAGTGTTCAGTTCCATAGAGGTGACACAGAAATGCACACGGACCCAGAACTCAGTAAATACAAGGAAAGGAAGACTCAGAAACAGGAGACAGTGTGTGGTGGCTTAGTGCCTGACCCCAGACCTTCACAGGGGCACATGGGTCTCCTCAGGTGGGCAGTGTCCCAGCCTTTTTCATGTACCTAGCATCCTAACATGGATTATTTTTGTTTTTAAATTTAGTGTTGTATTTATTTTTTTAAAAAAATTATATACTTTAATTTTATATATATGTGTGCTTTGCCTGAATGTCTGTCTGTCTGTCTATGCAACATGTGTATTCCTGGTGTCCAGGTAGGCAGTTGGGAACTACGATATGTGGGTGCTTGGAACCAAATCTGAGTCCTCTCCAAAAGAAGTATGTGATCTTAACCACTAAGTGCTCTTTCCAGCAGCCCATAAATTTTTGTACTAGAGAAACAATTTAAAATACAAGTTTAAGGCCATGTTCCTCTTAAATATTTTGTTGACAACTTGAGTTAGATTTTTGTCTTTTAATTCTGCCTTTAATTACTTAACATGTAATATTTTGCTTAAAATACACACACACATAAAAAAAAAAAAAAGAAAAACCCAGCAACCCAAGAGTGAGGATGCCCGTGGACTCATCCTCACCCGTCTCTTCTCTCCGTTGAGCCCATTTTGCAAGCTCATTTCACACCTTTCTCCATGTATTTGCATCATGCCCGCTCCCATAGGAAGCAGTAGCACTGTGTCTGTTCAGACAGAGTTGCTACAGTGCGGTTGGCATCTCTTTGCAGCTGCCGTCCTCACTCCAGCTGTGTCTCAGACGTTCTGTGGTGGTTTTATGACTCTATTTTGTTTGTTTTAGCTGCCAGGTACCAGGAGCATAGCATGGCCACACACCGAGGCTCCAGTGCTGATGCCTGTGCAGGTTACACATGTGTGTGCTGCAGCGATATTCTTGGTGGTTGTCTCTGTGTGCATGTGTGTGAACTATTCTTCCCTGAACTATGCTCAACAGAAGTCATTCAATCTCAAAGACACAAACGGGCAAGTCCAGTTCTGGGACATCTGTGCTGATTCACAGGCCCTCCAACAATGAGCACAACTTAGTAAAGATGCCATAAGATGGACACTTGCCCAAGTATCCACTCTGGAAAGCTGAGAATGCTGATTAGTAGACAGATAACAAACTTAATGTTGAAATGCTGTTTTGCAAATTGGAAGGTTAAGCTAAAGTTAGCAGTACAGATATAAGAAAGGCTTCAAATCTAAGGATAAAAGGAAAAGAAATCTATCTGCCAGTGACCATGGCAGACAGCTGGTCACCAGAGAACAAGATGCCACACCTCTGTAACTACTCAGAGTGCTAATACAAAGCGGCTTCATTATTGTTGATTTCAGACAAGAGCTCATATATCCTGGGTTGGTTACAAACTTGCTCAAGATGACCATGCATTCTTGGTCCTGCTGTTCCTCCCTCTAAGTGCTGAGATTGTAGGCATACGCCACCACTCTGAGGTTGATATAGTGCTGGGACTGAACTCAAGGCCTCTGGTACTCTAGATGAGCACTCTACCAACTGAGGAGCATTCTCAGCCAATATGGATGGTTTAGAGAAAGCCATACTGGCACCATGCATGACGAACAGCATGCACATGATTCCTATGCACCAGCAGT